AAATAAATAAATAAATAAATAAAATAAAATACTCCAATACTATATTATTAGTGTTTTTACAGATAGAAGATTCTAGTACTTTAGCAATTGGAGGCATGAATATGAACAAATACATACATAAATATTGTCTTCAGATAAATTGAAATTTCTTCTTGTGCCAGGAACATTCGTTGCTGAGTTTATATTTTAGCTAGTAATTAGGTCAAAGCTTGATTACTTTGTATATAACTTAACCAGTCCTTTGTAGTTCTTTTTAATCTCCTTTTGTGCTACTAGAGTTCTAGGTTTTTTAGTGTGAAAGATCACTTTTTCTTGCACATGGCCAGAGCTAGTTGAAAACTAGATTTTCTTTTGTTCTTTAGAAACTTAGAGAATTGATGGTGAAAGTCAAAATGGTGCCAAAAATAAGTTCTGTTCTTTCCTTGAATTTTGGTTATCGATAGCTAACTACTCATTTATATTGTGATTGAGAACCATTGCTCTTCATAGTCAGTTTTAATTTGTACAAATGCTACCACATGTAGCAACATTTTACTGCATATAAGCTAGTGTTGCCTATCACATTCCCAGTTGTGACCTACTTCTTCCTCAGCCTTGCATATTTCTTGAATTATTTTCTCATACCCTAACCCTTCCAATTTAGGGCCAACTTATTTTGAACCTCTGGTCTCTTCTGTTTCATCGCTCCAGTCCTACTCCCACTTGTAGTCATTAAGGATAGAGAGGTGCTGTGATTCGGGACAGGTGCAGTTAGGACAGGAGCTGAGAAGGAGGCAGCATATATGTGATGTGGAGTTAGTAAACATCACCACTCTGATGTTTAGTAGGTTTGGTAAGATGTTAATCCTTACATAGATTTCTAGCTTCTAGGTAGAAGCTGTGTCTTAGGTTTCTGAGTGTCTTATGCACAACTGTATTCTTGCTATACTTTAGCTGAGTGTTTTAACAGTTAAAATAGGAAATTTAACCCTCAATGCCAAGCCTTTAAGAATGGTATCCTCTCCACACCCAAAGAAAAAGCTACGGTGCATGGAAATAGTATTTAAAGGGAAGTAATCTGAAGAAAAAGGTATAACGATGTGGGTTCTTGTCCCCTGTACTTAATACTGTGATTGTAGGCGAATCACATAGCCTTTATACCTCATTCTATGTATTGGTAAAGTAGAGATAATACTGCCTGTGTTTGGTAGGTTAAGTTCTAAGGATTAGCAGGAATACTCTTTTTGAAAGTCTTGGAAATTTTCAAACCAGTGAGAAGATTTAACACTTTAAATATTTACTTCATGATAATAAAAAGGCATTGTTATTTCTTCCTGGAACTTTTTCACCCTTTTACCTGTGAGGTATTTTCTGAAAGATAATGAGCATGTTTGTTTTCAGGCAACAGAAAATAGCAGACAGAGAAAAGAGAGCAGCAGAACAACAAAGGAAGAAAATGGAGAAGGAAGCACAGAGGCTAATGAAGAAGGAACAAAACAAAATCGGTGTGAAACTTTCATAACCAATGTGCTTCACATGTCACAGTGCCAGCAGGAGAAATCCGGGCTCCGCAATCCACGCGACATTGACATGGATTTAAGAGTATTTTCGGGCCACAAACACACTGCTTGATTCTAATGCATTCATCAGGCCATCCAGGACACAGGATTCTCCCAAAGTACCTTGAACTCTTAGTGATTGAGACTCAAAGGAACAAAAAAGACTTACGAGGCATTATTTTCCTCAGCGGGCTCCAAACATAAGACGATTGTTTGCTGTCAAGAAATTATTACAAATGGAATATACTGGTACTTCTCAAGCTATTGTTTCTAGCTGAATAAATATGTATAATTTTATGGTGGAAAAGAACTCTCTATCATGCTTTCCTTCAATGTTCATAATTATAAAATAAATAATTTTAATATCCTTCTGTTTTCATGTCACCTGGCCTAAAGTAGACAAATTGTAGGTAGGGCTTTTGCTTCCTTATTTTTGTTGTCGGAAGCTGGTGTTAGCATACATTTTCTCTAATCTGAACTGGTCTTATTTGTTTGATACGTTAAAGAATTTAATTTTAGTTTTCAAGAAAATGACATTAAATGCAATAATATTATTTATCATAAATATTTTTTACATCATTTTCTTTTGGATGGTGTTGCACTGGTATATTTGTAATTTATTAGCATGTATAAACATTTAAAATCAGCTAAAGTGACAAATTTGTTTTACATTATTATAACTTGTGAGTTTTAAGAACTAGTATGAGTAGGTTTTCCCTTTCATTGTAGATTTTGAGATGTTATGGTATCTTCAGTACCTTAGGTCTTCCTCCCCTCAAAAGCCATTAATTTACAAATGCAGAAAGCCTTCAGTTCGGATATTTCAAGCTTTTGGATGATTTCTGTATTGGTTTTATATATCTGACATAATGTAGGTTTCCTGTGTTGTTGGCTAGGATAACATTATTGATTCACTGGATTATAAAGAAAGACAGGAGTAATCATCTGTTACGGTGTTGATTGGCTTGCCTTAAGGAAATATTTCAGTACTGTGTTCATGTTGCTGGGGGCTGGATTAAAAAACAGATTTGATAGTTTAAAATCCTATTAAATTTTTCTCCACAATACATCAAGCCTGATTTCCTGTGGCTTCAGAATTTTAAGAGATTTTTACTTTATTAAATGTTACTGTGTAGAATTAATATTTTGTGCAGTTTTAAAATATCCTAGACGCTCAATAGACCAAACATTACTAATATGTGTGATTCGGGTTTGAGCCTAGGCCCTTCTCATTGAACTGTGTCTCCAGCCCGCCCTTATTTTTTATTTTGAGACAGTGTCTCACTAAATTGCCCAGGCTGGGTTCAAACTTGTGCCCTTCCTGCCTCAGCTCCACCCAGAGTGCTGGGATTACAGGCATGCACCACTGTGCCTGGCTAATATTTTTAATTATTAAAGTGATATTTTGTAGTAAATGCATTAACTATACAATGAGAGGTTCCTAAGTCCTTGGGCTAAACTTCTGGACTGAATGTGACTGTATGGTCTGTCGGTGGAAAGTTTGTCAAAACTCCAAACCACATTTTCATTTACCATGTTCATTAGATTTCTACCAGTAAACTCCCTATGAAACAGAGGGACTCAAATCTTTAGTAATTTATTTTCTGACCCTCTTTGTATTTAAGAATTTACTTTTAGTTAGTATGGGAATACTACATGATTTGTTTTAAATTTGAGGATTGTAAGAATAGTCTCTTAGTATAATTACTTTTACTGCTTTTCCCAAATATTTGAAAAATATTGAAGGTTGTTTTGGTCATGACTTTTCCTATGTGCAAGGTTTCGTTTGTGTTTTGATAATTTAAAAATAATACTTAGAAGTAATAGTTTGATAAATCAGGAACAAATATGTTTTTCTTATGGAAAACACAGATAATAATTCTAGAATTTTCTTGACCTCTGTCGATGTATAAAGAACTACCATATTAGATTGGATACGTTGTGGTCAGCAGAGAAGTTAAATCTATGGGATACCTGCTTCATGGTCACAAGACTGTTTTCTGTAACTCCTAAATTTATAATTTCTGTTTCTTCTTTTTGATTTCAGTAACAATTTCTAGATTCAGAAGTTCATCAGAAGTAAAGAAGAAATACGGGCAAGTTTTAAGTGAAATTAGTGAAGGTGTATGCAGTATGTGAATTGTGCATTTGAGATAAGTAATCAGAGACAAGTCACACTTACTTCCTGTTCTTTACGTAGACATTTCCTCGTATGAAGCCTTACCTACCCCTCTCGGCTCCTTTTGATTGCAATTTAGACTAACAATGTAAAATTCTGCATCTGAATTCCTCAGTTTGGACATGTCAGAAAAGTAAAATTTGTTCCTGGACGATGACAGGTGATTGGAAAGATGATAAAACTGACATCTGGATCAAGCCTCCAAAAGCACTGTGGATCAAGCTACTAGTAGAGGGTAAACCCAACCACAGCCAGTATTCCAAAAACTGCTATTTTGTTAATAATGGTTGTTTACTAAAAGAGGTCTGGGCCAGGTTTATCTAACATAAGTATCTCGTTTAGTCCTATGAAGTTCAAATTTGGGATAATTTCTGTAATGATTTCTATGCCCTTTGCCTCCTTGATCAAAGAAAGTCTTGGAGCAGGTGTGGAAGCTGGTGGAACAGGTGCGGGTGAATGGTTCTGGCTGAATCCGAGTTGGGAGGGTAACAGTGAGCTAGGGCCTACAGATTGTTCCAGCGGAGCTTCTGCCTTTGCTTTCCGTTCACTTGGAGCTGGAAGAAGGCGATGGATCCATGAAAAGGATATTTTAGTTGCTAATGCATAGTATGATTGAAAAGTGCAATGAACGTTTCAATTAAAAAATTCTTACATAGTATGATTGAAAGTTACAGTGAATGTTTCAATTAAAAGTTCTTATGTATAATGTACATAATTTATCAGAAACACCAATAGTTTTCCTAGTATATTCCCCAAAAAGTTACAAAATGGGCCTAGTTTACCAGAAACAATTTCATACTGTACTCACCATTCAAGTTGACGTCTTTGGCTTGCAGGGAGGGAAGATGAAGTAGAAGGTGGTGATTATTTGGAAGAAGAATCCCCTTCTATAAGAACATCAGGAATCTGGCGTCCTTTCTGACCTTGGGAGAGTGTGTAGCCCAGTAGGATCTGCTTCTGGCTTACTAGGTCTCAACGTTTTTAGAACTAAAAACTGGTCTACGGTTGTCTATTTCTGTCTTTCCTTTAACACTGTTCTGTAGTATGACATGACATTGTCATTAAGCAAGTGAATGCAGTGATAGGCTTTTCCTCTGTCTGTGTGGGTCTTCTCTACATGTTCATAGCTCCGTCCATTTTTTTCAGGATTTCCTTTATTTCAGAGGAACTTTTCTGCACTGATTGCTGATACTCCCCCTCCTCTTCAGAAAGCTCCTCAGCTGCCGTTTTCTGTTGCTCAATCATAAGTTGCTGAAGTTCCTCTGCAGACAGTTCCTCTGAGTGTTCCTCCACTAGTTCCTCAGCATCACCACTGTCTGCCTGCAAGCCTGTGGACTCTGCTGTAGTGACAGTGTCATTAACTACACGGTAAATTGAAGGCTCAAGCTCCTCTAAACAGCCTTTCAAGTCTCTCCTGTATAATTTTAGGCCACACTTTTTTCCAGGCAGGACTCAGTGTCCTTAGACATTGGCCCAAGATTTCTGATTTAACTCCACACAAGAAAGAAGGTTGTAATGTTACTTCCAGAACTCTTTAAGGGTTAAATCTATCCGAGACCATCTGGAAGCGCTGCAGGCACAGTTTCTTGGTGTATAGCTTTTTTTTTTTTTTAATTAATGAAAGAAAAATATTTTTACAAAGGAGGAGTCTGGCACAGAACAACTAAATTAATGAGTTAAAAATCAGGTGCAAGAGTATTGTTACCTGGTATTGATATTTACAAAGGAAATGTAATCACTCCTGTGGTATTAGCTACAATAAAATAAATAGTACAGCTCACCTGAACCTAATCATTAAACCAAATCATTATGTGGAATTCAAGACATAATGTCTTTCATGTTCTATAAATCTCAATACTTTCAATATTACCTTAGCTTATTTTAAACTGTGATTTCTTTTAATACAACTTCCTGGTGCATTCAGTGCAATGAACTTCATACTTGCAACTGTGCATTACTGGAAGACTTCCTACATGAACTGATGGAACATCCACATGGAGTCTCTGTATATTCTTCTTCTGCACTGGCAATAGAGGACTTATTTCCATTAACAACAGCCATAGGGTATCTATACATTCCATGGTCAACTATCAAAAAGACAATCTTCTGTACTGTAGCTCATAAATTCATGGTGAAAATTGTCCATGGCAGTAAGATGCTGTGGTGTATAGCTTAAGTTAGCTGTAACCTGCTGGTCCATAGGTGGCAGTGGAGGAGTTACATAAGGTGGGAGGAACTTGACTGAGACCAGTGGGAATTCTTCAGCCAATTCTTCCACATCTTGTGGGTGAGCAGGAGCAATCCCCATGATGTGGAGAGCCTGAGTAGGAAACCTTTGTCCTCCAGTTACTTCTTAACAGCAGGACAGAAAGTCGGCCTGATCCACTCAAGAAAAAGTACTCTTGTTACCCAGGCATTTGCATTAGGTCTCCACATGACCCCTAGCTTGTTCTTCATCACTATGTTTTTTGAATACTCTAGACGTTTCAGAGCAATAAGCCAAGAGAGGTTTATGTTGAGGTCACCACTCGCCTGGGCACATAGCAGTATAGTTAGCCTGTCCTTCATAGGCTTGTGGCCTGGCGTTTTCTTCTCTTCCTGGGTAATGTATCTTCTTCAGGGCATTTTCTTCCAGAAAAGGTCAGTTTCATCACAGTTGAAAACTTGATGAGAGCAAAAGCCATTTCCCTGTGTCATCGTTTGAAGTGGCGCATGTAATTTTCAGTGGCCCTTTTATCAGCACTGGCTGTTTTACCATGCCTAGTTACACTATAAACCCCAGTCTCATTTTAAAATTTTGAAACCACCCCTTATGGCATGAAATGTTTCACCACTGTCGCTGCATAGATTATTCTTTACGAGACCTGCATTTATAGCCCCAGCTTTTTCACAAATTATAGACTCAGGCTATCACCTGCCCTCTGCCTTTTGTAAACAATAGCCTTTCCACATCTAGCACTTGATCATGACTTACTAATTTGAGTAACGTTTTTAGCAACACTGGCTTCCTTACACAGGTCTTTTCTCTGTAAGACTGTCAAGATGGTGGATTTTGATGTGCTGTCCATATTAGCAAGATTGTCATTTGAATGCCACTTTCACGCTTCTCCACGGTTTCTTTCTCCTTTTCGATTGTGATTGCTTTCTTTCCCTTCCCTTCCTTCCTCAGCTGCTTTTCTAGTGTTTGGGGACCATTTTGATAGCAGGTATTGTAGTGATTAAAGCACTGACCGAGTGCATCTGGGCTCAGACTGACACTTACGTACAGTTACATATGCTTTTCTGGTATGGTGCGTCTTTTTTTACAACCACATAAGCAGCTAGCTTTCAGGTTGTAACTCAAGACGTTGGTTGTAAGTTCAACCTAAAATTCAGAGCATAAACCCAAGTTGTTCATATGTGAGGCTGGTTGTAACTTGAGGGTCCACTGTATCTTTAGTTGCTCAGTGTCCTAAACTGATTCAAAATGGTCACCTTTCACGGTCATTTTGACTTTGGGGAAGAGCCAGAAGTCGAAGAGTGCCAGGTCTGCTTGGTGAGGTGGGGGAGGACACACCGTAATGTTCTTATGAACCTGCCTGCCGTTGGATGTCAGTGACAGTAGCACTCAAAATAATTTTTGATCAGATTTTCTAAGGAACTGCTTCAGAAAGTGACAAAAATAATGGGATAAATGTGTTTGCAATAAGAGGGAATATTTTGAGAGGGATTAATAGCAGTGTCAGACTGATAAAATTTTTAAAATTTAAACATTTACTATATATTTTCATAAAGTCTTATACCTTAAACTTATTTCTGCCATTTACCTAGTTTTATTTTTTTAGTTGCTCTGTGCTTGTAGAGAGAACGCTCCTGTGTGTGAGTGTGTGTGTGTGTGTGTGTGTTTTAACATTAACCACAGTTGCTGTTCCACAGTTGTAACAACAGCGAGAGACTCCTTTTGTACTAAACTTTTTTTACTTCCTCCTTTTTATTTTGCGAGAGACTCCTTTTGTACTAAACTTTTTTTACTTTCTCCTTTTTATTTTGCGTACCCCTTAGTCATGGCAATTAGGCATGCTTAGTAAGTAGAACAAATTTTTGAGAGTGTGTAAGATACTTTTTCACCAAAAGCCTTGGTCTTCTAGTATGGAAAGAGACACAGTGTTCTAGGAAAACCTCCCTCTCCCCTTCCTCAGATTTTTGTGTCCTGCCCTTGCGTACTTACTGCTGATACTGCTTATTCACAATCAGCAGGTTTTGCAGAGAAACTTTCAGTGAAGGTCTGGCCAGTCCAAACTAATCTCAGCCTTCTCTTTGAGGAGACTTCGATGGCTGTTTTGTAAGACTTTCGTTATAAACTGATCGGATCCCGCCAACTCTGATAGCTTTTAAGAGCTGCTGCCAGTGGTGCAACTTGCTTGACTGATAAGTTGGTTTTTATAAATGGAGAGAGTGGTTTTAAGAACAGACTTTGTGCGTTGGTATGAACACTCAGCAAATGGTAATCGTGAAACCCTGTACACACTTTCCCTCACGAGGGCCGGTACACTCTGGTACTCACAGCTCTTCCCTGGCAGAGCAGGGGGAAAGATGATCTTGAAATACTTTTGCACACCTTTGGGTGGAAGTGCAAATGTAGTAAGAAAGAATCAGTGTTACATATGCTGTCATGATTTGGATCATAAATATCCCCTAACCCTAGTAATGCCCATATCTTGAACCTTGGTCACCAGCCGGTGGCAGTATTGAGAGGTGGTGCGACCTTTAGAAAGTGGGACCTTGTGGAGAGAAGCTAAGTCATGGGGTCAGGACCTTGAAGGTGCTGTTAGAACCCCTGCTCCTTCTCTCTTTCTCACTTCCCAGCCACCGTAAGGCAAGCCCTTTCCTCCGCGTGTGCTCCTGCCATGGTGCTCTGCCTCATCACAGGTCCAGAAGCAACGAGAACAAATGATGGTGGACAGAAACCTCTAAAGCTGTGATCCAAAGTAAGTCTTTCTGCCTTTCAACTTGGTTATCGTGGGTATTGTGTCACAGAAAGAGAAATCTGACGGGTGTGCTTAGCACTGTTTGGATCTTTGACTATTTCACTGACTCCTAGGAATCCCATGAGGTAGATACTATCCTCATTTCACATAAAAAGAAGCCAAAGCTTGGTCATGTGCTTGATCAACGGGGGAAATAGTAAGCTAGAGAGCTGTTAGGGGTTAATGAGTGTTCTGTGTTCTATGGCCGATTTCTAAGGTCCCTCTTACCTTGAAACTATGATCTGCAAAACTCAATGAAGATGTTGTTATAAATTATAGTAGAGAACTCCGATTGATTGTGTTTTCTAAGAATTTAATATATAGGAAAAAGCTTTGTTTTTATTTTCATATGAATTACAGCTGTATCAATGTAAATGCTATATAATTATGTATTCACAGTTTATTTGGGTCAGATACTATAATCAGACAAAATTAAATGTAATTTGTATTTGCATATTTGCAAAAATAGGCCAATTAGCTCACTGATGGGGTCATAATTTTAATGAAGCACAGGCTGCAGTTTCCATATATAGACCAGAATTTTATGTAGGAGCCTTCCTGCTACAAATTGCCTTTAACCTTGCCCAGTTAGTAATCTATGTTGTTTGAATTTGGTTGAGAGTGACAAAATAATCATCTTGCATAGAAAATTCAAACATACCACCAGTGTTAACAGCTTTAGTTATAAGATATTATATTGACTGCTGCCACTGATGTCATTTGTTAAAATATTTCAACCATAATTTGAATCCTTAGCTCATACGGCAGTGCAGTTCACAAGCTTGTTGAATAAAAGCATTGTTTACCTATTTTGTAGGGAAAAAATGGCATCATTGTGAGATAAATTGGACTCCAAAGTACATTTTTAAAAACATTTTTAGTCAGAATTTGATTGCAGTGCTAGGTAAAGATGTGCATAAAGAAGACGTATATTTAACTTGTGTTCAGAGCACACAGAAACACAGGAGCTTTTATTACCGTTTGAACCTCTGCACTGCGCCTGGACTTTATAATTGCTGAATCTTTCTTGATTAGAAGGAGCCCTTATGGAATGAAGTAGTACAGGAGTGGTCATCTAGAAAAAGTTGTTTTTCATTTATGTCTTTCAGGGGGGAGATGTGAAAATTATTGACCGCTTTCATGTTCCATGTTCTCTCTACAGACAACAAGCCAGAAATAACGTGCTGGTTTGGAAGAGTGAAAGGTCAGTTTAAAATGCCAGCACCTACTGTTTAATGTAGGAAGAGAAACTGGCAAACCGTCTCAGACACTGAGAGGTTTTCTGGCTGCTGAGGAGGGGAGGGAGGCTGTGGGCCGTGGGGCCCATCTCAGGTTTGCAAGGAGAGTCTGGACGTCGATTTTAAGTTGGTTATTATCACCATGGCTGTAGAGGCTTATATGGCCCCCGACTGAGAGGTGAGTTTTCTTTGTAATTAAACCAACAGAGCACTGGACAGTACCATTTTGTGAGGAAGGGTTGGAACACAATCCCGTTAGGCCTTCATTTATTTAGGGCAGTAGGAATGGAGTCTTCAGCATCATCGTGGATACTATGCCAGTTAATTGAGTTTCCACACGAGATCTTACATAGACTGGCGCTTTTCAAAGAGTCTGGTACATGGTGAAATGATTTGCAAGGTGCTCTCAAAGGTGGGTCAAGGATCACCACAGGGGACAAGGGGGAGGTAGGTGACAGGGCCCGGCTACTTTCCTTACTCTAGAAATTTCACTTGTGTTTTATATATTCAGTGTTTTAGCTTTAACACACTTTTTAAAAGAAATAAACGTTTGAACAAACTTGAATGCTACTGAAGCGTTTCAGTCTTTCAGTGAAACGCTTTAAGTAGTTTTAAAACATTTTTTAAATTTAAAAATGCTTTGGAATGATTGCTACACTCATTACAATAATCATGATTGTGGGGGAATCATTGATCGCAGCAGCGATGTCCTCTGGTTTGAAAGTGATTACCTGATGTAGACCTTTTTGGTTTACTGTTTGGACTACTTTTGTTCAGGACACTTGGGGGAGTGTTGCCATTTCAAAATTTGACTGCTCTCCGCTGTTGATTTCCTAGGTCACTGCCTCACTGTGCGCATTTCACCTGCAGGATTAGAAATAAATGAATTTTATAAAAGTACTCACTGATCCAAAATAGAAGTAGGAAACTGTCCCAAACCTTCTAAAATAAAAAGCTCTCTAGAGAGAAACATACCAGACCCAGCTGCTTGGGCAGGACCAATGATAAATGCAAATCACAGGCTTCCTTTTTCTTCCACCGCAAATGTCAGAAATGCTTGGCATCTGAGTTACATTGCATTTTCCTTCCTTTTCGGAACAGCTTAACTCGGAAAGGTCAACGTATCCCTTTGGGAAAAATCTTTCCTTATAAATTGGAATATTTGCACACGCAACTGTAGGAAGTATTTAACATTTGCTTTGATGGGACAGCAATTTGTTCAATGGAGTGGAATTATTCTTTTTTTCCATTTCCCCACCTGTTTGTACATCACAGGCACCCAAGTCACTGAGAGCAACTCTGAGGCAATTCTTTCACGGGGTCAGATCATCCTCTCCACAAAGCCAGCCAATGCCTTAGGCTTCTGAAAGTCGGGCATGTTGCACCCTTTATTCCATGTGGAGAGACTTTATTCTGCATAAAAGCAGGGATATTCTACAGACTGTGTACACTGAAATCTTAAAGGAAGAGGCGCACAGGGAAGGGGAAGAGAAGCAGGAAAAGGAAGAGTTGCCCCAGGGTCTCCTGTTCTACCACTGTGCCCATTTGTTCAAATGTGAATGAGACATGCAGGGTCTCGTGTCTTCAGCGGGCTGCTTTGTTGGAGCCTTTTAGTGTCTGCAAGGAAGGATGCAGGACCTTGAGACAACGGGACACTGGTATTGCTGATCACCTGCCTCCAATACAACGAAAAGGTATGATTCGTGAAATTCTTTCCCGCTGGACTCCACCCTGTCCATCCGTCTTCAAATGAGCAGCGATGCTGAGTTCGTGTGGCTGTATTTGTTTCAGTAGCAGGAGGCAGATACCAAAAACAGGCTTCTCATTTTTGTTAAAAATGCTTTCATTTACCAGTGACTAAAACGCAGTAAACACAAAGAGGGATTAAGGACAAGGTAGGCATTAGTCTGGGCTGGATTATGGGAAGAGACCTGAGTCATATTTTCGAACACTGCAGAACATTCACCTTCGGAAATAATTTCTCTTCTATTTCAGTCAGTCCTTCCACTGCTAACTGGAAGGGCAAAATGTGCGCTGTGTAAGTCAGAGGGGTGTGCCCGAGGCACAGGTATATTCCAATAGAAATGTGCCTCACAGAGGCCAGGCTCCCCCACGTGTGTCCTGCCCTGTCTTTCCTCCGTCATCCGTTTCTTTCCTTTTCTTGGCTCAGTTATTAAGGTGTACAAACGTGTCTGGTTTCCTCTCAGTACTGAAGAATAAAACAAACCCTGACCTAATACTTGCTTATAACGACTTGCTTTCTTGTCTCCTTTCACAGTAAAACTTAATGAAACAGAGTAGCAGCACACACATTTACACTTTCTCTCTTCCCTTCACTCTTTAACCTGCACCAGCGGTGTCCATCCTCCTTTCTCCAGAAGGGATTTTGGTGAGGTCACGAGGACCTTGCTGTCAAAGCCAGGGGATGTGAAACTTTTCACTTTGCTCACTGTCTTGGCAGTTCCGTTGCATTTGCCTCCTTTCCTGCTGACCTTCTGAGTTGCCTTTCCTCGGGCCGTTTGGGCAATTCTTCATCCTCCACTTACATCCATATGTAGAAGTACAACAGGACTCACTCTTTGGCCTTTCACACACTCTTCCTGGATAATCTCATCTCTTTCCATTGTTTTAAACACTATGCAAAACCAAACACCAATTTTATAACTTTACCTGTGATTTTCACATTCATATGCTGTTACTTACTTGGGATCACCACATAATTGTTTTTTTTCCTCATACCAGGGATGGAATTCAATAGCTTGTGGGTGCTAGGCGCTACCACTGAGCTACAGCCTCAGCTTTTCTCACTTTTTATTTTGAGGCAAATCCTTGCTAAGTTGCCTGGGCAGGCCTTGAACTTGGGAACTTCCTGCTGGGAGTACAGGTGTGTGCCAGCGTGTGCGGCTCCACAGAGATGACTTTAGTAGACACCTAACTTTTATTGCACAGACACATGTCCTCTGGAACTCTTCCCATTCTCAGCAAACAGCACTAGAGCACATCTAGCTGCTCAAACCCAAACCGAGTTACCTTTAAATTCTCTCTTCCTTTCGCCCTGCTCCATCTCTAGTGCGTCAGCCACGTGGGCACTATCTGCAGTACCTCGGTTATTCAGCCAGTTCCTGTGTCTGCATCCACCTCTGACAGCACTGCGGTCTCGTCTGCACCACAGCAGCAGAACCCTGCGTGGTCTCACTGTCCCCATTCTTGCCTCCGTAATGTACTCTACATATGGCAGGCATAGAGTCAAAAGAAATCCATCACTGTTCTGTTTAAAGTCCGTAAATGTTTTCTCATTGTATTGGTAACATTCAGACCCTGCCCGAGGTTTACACAGCACTGTGTGTGCCAGCTTGTGCACAGTACTCCCGTCTCTGCGCTCCTCCCGCGAGCCTTGATGGTCCCATAGCATGGTAAGCCCTTTGCCCCCTCAGGGCCTTTGCATTTGTTCTTTTTGCCGCAGTTCCACATAGACTGGCTCTTTTTGTTCATTAGCACCCATTCTATTTCTCCAGAGAGATGTTCTTACCTTCAGCCCAAGCATCTTGGGTCAAAATGCCTTACTTCCTTCTCGGCACTTACTGCTGTCTAGAACTGTCTTAGCAAGCACTGTCCTTCACAGAATGGAAGCTCTCTGCAGTCAGAACCTGGTCTCTCTCTTTCACTGTGGATGATGGGCCCAGTGAAGTGCCGGCTGGGATGTAGGAACCCACTAAGTGGTTGCTGCATAATTATATTCAACTCTGACATTTAGATCTGCCAGGTCCTGTTCTTAGTTCTTGTCCTACATATGTGAACAAAACAAGACAAATTCCTGCCTTACTCACAGAGCTAATGACATCTGTGGGGAGGCGGGTAATAACCAGAACATCAAGTTAAAAATGTTTAAAAGTGGTTAGTGCTACTGAGGAAGAGCTTCTGGATGAGAATGTAGGCTATTTGCCAGGTCTTCTCCCTCCGTGTGGTTAATCAGAAAGGGCATTTGCTTTGCAGACACCTGAAATTCTGGTTGCTAGAGATGAACTACAAGAGCCTGAGCTGTTTTGAGGCTTCGCTCCTTAGAATGCCCATCTCACAACGTCTGCGTGAGAAATGAATTGATACAGATCAGATATTACCTCCTCCCACTGCCCACGTCTGCCATTGCAAGAAAGGGGTACACGTTAGCTTCATCCTGTGCACCTAGCAAGCCTTATAAAAAGCATCCTAGCTTTCCTGACATAATACATGCTCACTAAATATATACATGGACCAACAAATGTGGGGCTAATTTAAAAAGAAAATAAAGCTATTTTTACTCCAAAATGTTTTTTAAGTCAGGATAGGAAATGTGTTCCTTTAGTCGTTATTTTCCCTTTTTTACTTTTTAAGTTAATTCCATTTTTATAAAACTATTGATAAAGATGGAAGGTCTGCTCTGCCTGTACTCTCACCCTATATAGAAGTAAGCTCACAGACATAATAGTTTTGTAAGCGGATAAAACATTTATTTAAACGAAAACACTAACCTTTATTTTCATCATGCTAAAGTGTGTGCTTACAAACAATTCTCAGTAAAACACTATATATAATAAGCAAAAAATAAGTTAGTACATTGTAAACTTACATACAATCCCATCAGTTAACAGGTCTAAGGACAAACAGCCATTTAAGACTTTGGAGCTACATTTAGTAAAAAAATTGCAAATACTCAAACCTTACCAACCCCAGGTAAATGCTAAAGAACTATTCAAGACTTCTTTGACCCAGTTACACAAGTACAGTTTTTATTTTTGGTTACAGTCCCCTGCTATGCACAAGACCATTGGAATGCTGGAACAATTACACATTTTAAAACGGCACAAAGCAAAGCAAGGAGATAACATGCCAGCCTTGGGGAAGCTGTCTTGAAAGTGCAAATTTGCATTTTCTCTTCCTGAACCAGTAGGATAAGAACAGGTACCTTAGACGACACGGCAGGGTCATGAGCATGCTTTCTATACACACTGGTGGGACATTTACTGGGACCAGGTCTCCATGCCTTTGAAGATACCTCCGGTTTTAAACAGTGAACAGGCTTCAACTAACTATAGTGCAAATCAAATACCGAGGAGCAGAACGACAGAACAGAGACTGCCACAGATCAACCTGTTTCTCTACCTGGCACAACGCCAAACGGGACACATTGGCACAGGGTAACGACTTGGACTTAGGTTTTGATACGGAAGGCGGTGCGGCGGAGAGAATGCAGGGCGACCACACAGCAGCCCCGGAGCAAGGCTCCAATGTTGTAGACAGGATCTATTCCCCCTCTCTGAGTACTGAATGCCCACAAAACAGTGGGTACCACAGGGGCACCCACAGCCAGGAGATCCACCAGGAAACTGCTGCTCCAGTACTGCTTCGAGACGGTCCCCTGAGATGGTGAGAGGATGCCATCCAAACTTTCTTCTGCGGTGTAGGATGCAAAATCCAACTCTCTCATGAGGCGGCTCGCAGGAGCTTCTGTAGCGGTCTGGCTGCATGGGGTCTCCACGGGAGACAGGAGGATGGCCGAGTTTGGGTTTCTCGGAGTTAAATCAAGCATTAAGGCAGAGATGGACTCTGGGAAGCTCTCCACTGAGTCAGCCCCAGATTCGTCAGGGGATGCTGAGCTCGAGGGACAGGAGTCCTGGAGCCTGAGCACACTCTGAATGAACTCGGAGATGGCCGGGCTGAACAGCAGCACATCAGTCTGCACGGCCTGCTCCACCACCACGCTGGCCTGCTCCTGACCCAATGCCACAGGAAAGATCTCGAGAACTTCTGCCTCGGGCGTAGAATGGACCAGCTCCAGGTCACCAGATTCTGTGGTGGTGGCTGCCACCATGTCATCAAACAAATCTGCACTGTCAGCCGTGCTATCTCCCACCAGCAGCTCACTGTCGGGCCCCTCCTCTGTGACCTGCTCTTCCAGAGACAGGCCATCTGTCATCTTGCCAAAAGGGGTGTTCAGGGGTAAGCTCTTCTTCGGGGAATCGCACGGAAACAGCTCGTCCCTCAGAGAGCCACTGTGCGCCATCTCCATGCTCTGCAGCAGAGACTCCAGCTTCTTGTTCTGGATGTTGATGTCCACAAAATACTTCTGAATGCCTTTATCTTTATCCGCCAAGTTGCTCCTCATAGTCTCGATGACCTGCTTGAGCTGTTTGATCTCCTTCCTGGCTTCTTTGAGTGCCAACTGGGCCTCCACCCGGTGGCATTCTTCTTCGATCCAGTCTTCTCTCATACGGGCCAGCTGGGACTTGAGCTCCACGATTTCACTTTCCCTGGAGGGAAGCAAACATGGTGAAGAACAAGGTAACTCGGAAGCAGAGAACAAGCAGTGCGGACACACAGCCCAGGGCCCAGGCCCTTCCTCTTTGAAGTACACACGTTAAATCAGCTCGGGAATGTTTTTCTGCGGCAGGTATTAGCGGCGAGCTTTCACTATAAAAGGGCAAGTAATAGTAGCCAGAATCAATCAAAATAGCTGCCATTGTTTTCTTTTTCTGAGTGCCCATTGTGCGTGTTAAACATTCTCTGCTGGGTGCTTCACAGAAATTTTGTCATTAGAATTTCTTAGCCTGCTTTTATCTGCATAACCTACAGACAATACCTACGAACAGTTGTGTAGGAAAAGTCCATGTCACTTTTAATTACCTAATAAAGACAAGCTGAAATGATAACGGTTAACCTTGTAAAACTGTTCTGGTCACACTCCAGTGATGACTAAATTTTTAAAATATAAAAAGTTACATGTTAGAAGAACTGTGTAAAAAGTTGCTTATTCTATCTCTTCTCAGGTGAGAGGATAATGAATCCATCTGACACCGAGGAGAAGCTATCCTACTTGTTACAGCCTCCACAGGTACCTATTTCAAATCGTTGCCAAGGCAGTTCTTACATAGAATTTCCTCACGACTGGTGTGAATATATGTCCTCTTATTATTCATGGATATGAAAAGCAGGTAGTCAGAATCCTCATACATATGAAGTACAGTTTGCAATGTGTATTTAAGTTTAGGCTTCAATATTTTCTCAAGTTTTACTGCTTTTTCATACATCCTCCTCCCATCGTGTGCAAATCTTTCCATGATTTCCTTAAATCATAAAACAAACACTTCCAGAAAGTGGAGTCTGACTCACCCCAGAAATGAGTTTTACTCTCAAGTCTATTTCAGGCAGGTGAAGAATCACATTAACTGGGAAGATGAAAAATACCCCTTCTCAGAGTCTCTGCGGTTATCTGCCCAAAGCTCCTCACACCCCTTGGACAGGGGTTCAACCCAGGGCCTTCACACTGTGCTACACACCTAGTCCTTTTTTAATGTTATTTTGAGACAAGATGTTGCTAAGTTGCCCAGGCTAGGCTCAAACTTGTGATCCTCTAGCTTCCGGTACTCAGAGAACTGGGATTATAAGCATGTGCCACTATGAGCCGAAGCTCACAGCTACCTGGGCTAGAGCTCTGCTATTCTGTCCCAAATTTTCTAGGGAAAGCCAGCAAGCAGAAAAACTGGCGTGTCTCCAAGATGACAAAGGCCTTTTCTTTCTGAGATAAGATCTCTTAAGCATGGGCTAGTTTATTTTTTTTAGCCTTAGTGCTTGGCCCAGAATAATGAACTTCCTTCAGCACAGAAATAGCTTCCATGAATCACAAGGTACACAGACGGCCGCTCTCCTGCGGGGATAAACAGAGCTGATGGGACCCCCGTGTGACCCATTCAGCTGGAAGTACGCGATTGTTCCTGCAAAGGTCTCTGCCATTTAAAAATAGTAGGGTGCACACCCAATTCTTTATTTCTGCACACACCCAGAAAAAATCCGAGAGTCCTCACTAACCTACTGGGCCCCCTGAACTCTTGAAACAGCCAAATCACAGACACCTACGAAATGGCTCTGTTCAGAGACTGACTTAAGAAATTTGACCAAAATATTAAATAATTTTTTCTTTTCTATTTTTTCCATATAGTTTGGGTTTATATGTCATTTTATGAAAAAGAGAAACTGCTTCCCCACCGCACAGGAAAAGCCCACTCACCTTTCATGAAGCCGGCGCTCGGACTCCTTCAGTTTGGTCTTCAGGTGTCTCACTGTAACCTCCTTCTGCTGCAGAGGAGTCAAATACTGTTCTGGATTCGGGGGCTTGACACCGTGATTTTCTCCACAAGACATGTACCTTCCAGGCCGCCTGAAACAAGCCACGTACACAGGTGTTACTTTATCCCTGTTTCCTTTTCTCTTCAAAGAAAATAACAGTGTTATGGACTGCATGTCAGTGTTCCCCCCAAAGTCATATGTTGCAACCCCAATACTCTATTGTGACGGTATTTGGAGGGCGAGTCTTTGCGACATAATCAATCATGAAAGTAGAGCCCTCATGAATGGAATTTGTGCCTCATAAAAGAGATCTTGGGGAATTCTCTACCTTTTCCTAGCTTGTGAGGATGCTGACAGTGTAGAGCCCAGAGGAGAACCCTCCCCAGAACCCAGGCTGGCACCCTGACCTCAGACCTCCAGGCTCTAGAACTCGGAGAAACACATTTCTGTTGTGCATAAGTCACCCACTGAAGGTATTTCTTACAGCAGCCCAAGAAGACATCCATCCAGCTGACGGCTGGAGAAGAAATGGCACTCATGTACTGGGATCAGAAACCTCGGCAACAGATGAGCGCACTTCGGAAGGTAGACCGTAACACACCTGCCACTCACTTAGAAGCCTGGGCAGCCTGTGTGTTTGTGGAGGGGAGGGGACCGTGGAGAGGTGGGACTTTGTCTGCAGCTTAGGAATGATGTTGTGAAATAATGCACAGTTGTCTGCAGGCCCGGGCTGTGGTTCAGAGTGGCATGCTTTGTATTAAAGGACAATGGGTCGGGGGTGGGAGGAAGGGAACAAGATGACCTAACTTTCCACACAATGTATGTGCCACTGCCTACCAGTCAGCTTGTCCCCAGTTGAATTCAAATTGTTCTGAGATCAATCCCTGCTGCGAGCGTACTGGTTTGGTGGGAATGGAAAGTTCCTGCTTCAGGAGGGAGCACGACTACTGCGCTCTCACCAGTGTGTTTTGCAAGAGAGGAGCTCAATGTTCTGCAAACACAGCCTCAGCCGGAATCTTGGCCCTTCTCAGGCCTGGCCAAGACCTGGGCATCCCTGCTGTAAGAGAGCTGAGTAACGAGGACGGGGACGCCCAGGAGGAGGAGGGCTGCCAGCTTCTTCCCTGACGCTGGGCCCAGTCCAAGCCACTACGCTGCCCGGCCCCCAGGCCTGCGCTCCATCCCAGATGGCCTGTGTCCATTCCCCACCCCTGGGGCCCTGCGCCCAAGCCCCTCGGGATCAGCAGGTCTTGCTGCGCCACTCTGCTCCCAGCCCATGCTGTTAACTCCCTGCTTGCCCTTGAGCTCGCACTTCATTTCCTTCCTCAGGAAGGCCAACCGAGCCCTCCTGCCTGACTGGACCACTCCCTACCTTCTACACACTCACACAGCAAGAGCTGATTTTGTCATTCACATCTTTCTTCTCTGGGCAGACGGCGCAAGGCCAGTTTTCTTTACTGCTGCGTTCCCAGTGCTGAACACGGTACTCGGCGCTCACTAAACATTTGGTGTTGGGATGATCACGTGTGATTTCCCTCTGAGGAGGGAATGAGTCCGTCCTCCTCCTGGCCCTATACTGTCTTCCCTCCCTGTGCAGTAACTGCTTGGACAGCTGAACCTTGTTAGAACCTGTGGTTTGTGCTCTCTGCAGCAACCCTTGAAGGATTAGCTGAGTACAGGAAGGAAAGAGAAGTATCTTATTACAGAGTGAGGCAGGAAGTCAAGAGTTATATATTTCTCCCTTTTTAAATGAAAGCTTCCCAAACAGGAATAATGTAAGCAGCAGAATTTAAGAGGGGAAAAGTCTCACCTCATGACTGGGCTGCAGTCGCTTCCTTTGTAGGAGCCTGAGTTGCTACTACTCGGGGACGAGGGGGCATAACTGGGATGGATGTTAACGGGGCTCAGCTGGTTCCTGCACAGCATGGACAGAAGGTCCTTCTCCCGAGGGGACGGTGGGCTGCTGCCAGGCTTGTGCAATGACGTGCCATTGCTCCGTCCATGGGGACCTCGGCTGGGAGAAGAGCACAACAGAAGTTAGGATCTTACGGCTGCAGATCTCCACGTGCTGATGTCACCTACTCCTTCCCAGTGCCAGCTGCTGCTCGGGAAACCCAAGCCCTGGAGACGAAAGGCGCAGCCTCGTTACCGATGCGCACTGCTCTCACGAGCAGCCCTTTTCTCACCTCCTGGTACTTTTTCCTTCTATCTCGAGCACAAGCAAGATCTCTCTCCGTTTTTCAGTTTCTGATCATACAGCTTGTTTTGGATTCAACCCAACTGCCGGCTAAGAACACACATGCTACAAAGCACCGATCTGGCTTGGGCTCACTTTGGAGGCGGTTTTGGAGATGTGGTTTTTGTTCCAGTCCACCTGTTTAGCTTGAGGAATATTTGGGTTTGCTTCATGTTGGGGTAAGAAGAAAATTAAGGTAGTTTGCCAGTGGGATGGAGGCTACCCATAAAAGAAAAAAACCAGGACAGATCATTTTGACCCCGTATTTCTCTTTCCATTCCCAATGACCTAACAGCCTTTCCCATTTAAGTACTAAAATGTCGCCACAGCACCCTATCAGTACCCTGCCTCTTGCTTTTCCTCTCTAGCAGGAGGCTATGCGGCCACAGAGATTTTTCTAAGAAGGAATTTTTTTTGGTACCGGGAATTGAACTCAGGACCTTGCGCTTGCTAGGCAGGTGCTTGTGCCGCTGAGCTGTATCACTGGCCCTATAAGAAGGATCTGAATGCTGCCCTCCTCAAAGCCCTTCTGTGCTCCTCCCCCTTTGTCCAGAGTGAGGGCGGGGCTCCTTCAGATAGTGTTCAACCCAGCCCCCTCCATTCCTCCTTCCTCTCCAAGTTGGCCTTCCACAGGACTTAGCTTCCTGGAACATCCATGTTCATAATCATCTCTTATGTTTCTGAACTTAGAATTCCCTCTGCCTAAAACATACTCCCACGCCCTTCCCTAAGACCCAGGATACCTCCCACTCCAAGGCCAATGGAAGCTGCTACAGGCAGCCTTCTCGGACTTCTTCCTTCCCTACACCAGTGCAGGCGCCACTCCTCGGTGCTCCCTAATGCTCTGCAAACTTCCCCCCTGGGACTTGTTACAAGCACCATCACTGCATCCTTGCTAGGCCGGAGGACCCTGGAAGGCAGGGATGCAGCCTGTTGTTTACATCCCCATGGCTTCCCGGCACCTGGTGGGTGCTCCTTGCATGACTACTGCCAAATACACAGGCTGGGCTGAAACCCAGGCACTGGTACTTATTAGGAATTTAGGCAAGCCACTTTACACACATGCGCACACACACACACCCCTTCCTCTCAGAGTTGATGTGAAAGTAAAAAAGGCACAGAAGTGCATTCAAGAAACTAAAAACTAAGTGCAGCTGGACTCTGTTATTACATGATCAGCTTGTTAGACCTTCCTGTTAACCTAGTGCCAGAGATTTGATACCCCTCAAGAGTTGGGAAACATCTTGAAAATGGTGAAATTATCCAAATAGGTTAAGGCTCCTGTCAAAAATATTATTTGATGACATTACCAGAAAAGAAAGAGGAAGAGAATTCCTTTCACATGGCTGTGTTTTTGACAATCCCTTCTACCTGCAATTTTAATTATGGCTCTATCCTAATGACACACCTCAACGAGAAATGTGTGTAAATGTAAATACTGGTGTGTGTGTATGGATACACTTGGCTCCCAAACTGTAATTACTTATTTAAATTCAAATATAATTTCAAATGGTTGTCAGCCCAGCAAACCACACGAAAATGAAACCACCAAATTCTAAAGTTAAAAGTTCTTTCCTCTAGAAATCATCCAAGTGGACTCGCTCCCCCGAGGAGAGGACACTTGATGTGGAACAGATGGGCTGATGGCTTTGTGACAAACCAACTCCAGCCACCCAGGGTAGGAAGACCTTCCTACGTAGCTGGAAGGAACACGTACTCTGGCACAGATCGTCTGCTCCGTGCTGACTTCTCAGCCTGACACCCGCCACCCTATTTCTTAATGTGACCAGGAAGAATGTGCAGGATTAACCCTTACAAGTTAGGAAAGATCCTAAGGATCTATCCCCTATTTTGATCCAGAAAATTCTGTGCTGTTAACCTTTGCCGAGGACATTCTGGGAGCCCAGTGCTGTTCCAGATATTTTGTGAGCGCTCTCATTTCCCATGACCATCATCCTACAGGGCAGAGACGATCAGCACCTCTCTTTGCACATGAACCGAGGTTCACGAAAGAGAAATCACCCAAGAACACACAGTTGAGTTGGGATTCAAATCCAGATCTTTGCACTCTCTCTACAGAAACATCTCCTACTTGACGCAGATGAAATACATTGCTTTGGACTGGTGAGCAGGTATGTCATGCACTGGCTGTGTATGTGGTTATTACCCCCAAATTCACCACTGATGCGCATGGTGCAAAGAAGCACTCAAGCACATGGTTGAGTTCTGAACAGATGCGTGCGTGTTTTCGTTCAAGGCAGAGGATTCCTTAGAAATAGCAGGGTGGGCCTTCCACAAGGCGAGATCATTTGTACATAACCGGTCACAAGTATCTTCACCAACTCCACCTGTTCCTCATGCTCCAACTTGCTCACCAAATGGTCCTGTCAGCCTTCCTCTGCCATGGAACAACTGACCAATTACAGAGATCGGACGCGTCTGGCACGGGTACCCCGCCCACCTAGAGGAGCTGCCCTCAACGCAGGGTCCTGTGGAACCCAGAGACCCCGTGAAATGCCCGGGCTTTTCCATCACGGAAATCTACTGACGGCACTCTGTGCCTGGCTCGGATAAAGAAAAGTGAGGAGTCAATCTCAACTATTAATTGTTGTTAAGCCCTTAATTATTATTGCTTGGCTACACTGGTTTTTGGCATAAGCGATTTTTTGTTTTGCACACAATCATATTTACCTGATTTTATATTTAATATATCAGTTTTCATCACTTTAAAAAATCATGAATTTGAGACTAGAACATTTTCTGTGACTCCTATGTTATTGACCTGACTTAGGAATTTAACTACAAACCCAAATTCCTTTGAAATGCTTAATACAATTGTTTTCTTCTTCCGTGGGTCTGTTCTGTGGATCTTTGTATCGTGGCGATGTGCTACCTTCTTGAATGGCTTAGGTAAATGATTGCTCCTCAGAGCAAGTCACTTGTGATTTACACAGAGAATGTTCATATTCATGCCCTTTGACCTGAAGGGCATTTTATTTTTAAGACAGGAGGGACTTGGGAATCGAGGCATTGTGCTTTTTACTGTGAACTTCACTCCTTTTCTTACGGATTTTCTGGCTTCAGTTTTATTTTCAACAGTAAATCTGCACAGAGGGTGTTTCAGGTCCCTTCGCAAACATCAGCCAAACCCTCTTTTCTCCAAGAGAGACGGAAAGTTGTGCCTGCTGAGTCACGGAATTATAAGGCTTGAGGAACTGCATGTCCTTTCTCCAGGGAGGGACCTTGAAATTCACACAGTCTAACCCTGTTCTAGAAATCCGGACCCTGCAGCCCAGCACAGTCAAGTGACTCACTAAGCCAGAAGACGGGTGTCCCCAGGCAGGGCGTGCTCACCGCATCCCTCCTTTCGGTCCCTCCTGGGTGCCCACATCATCACTGAGGACTCCTGGGCCGCACTCATCTAGAATACACCACATGCCCCCTGACTCTTGATACCCTTTTCCTGCATGGCTTTAAAAATAATCCTATCAATAATCTATTTACTGTCTTTCTTGCCCTATTAAAATGAATACAGTCATCATGGAGTTTTGTTTTCTGCCTCATCTCCAAACCCCGCCTCACAGAAGATGCTCAATGAATGCATGAATGAATAATGATACGGATGCAGGTGGAGAATTCTGGGGCTTTCACTCCCCCCTGCAATGTGAATGGTGGCTTCCTTTTTCCCACAGTCCCTTTCCCCAATTCAAATAACGTCAGTGGTGAACATCTGACTATGCTTACTGTGCTCCAGGCCCTGGCCTGACCAGAAACTCTATGAGACAGGCATGCCTACAGCTTTATTTTACAGATGAGGACACTGAGGCATGAAGTTGTGCCGCTTGCTGAGGGCCACACAGCCTGTAGATGGTGGTGCTGGCACTAAACCAAGGCAGCCTCGCTCCAGAGCCTACGCACTCAGCTACTTTGCTGCCTCTTGCAGAGGTGGCCACTTGAGCCTGGGCACTTCGCATTCTGTTTCCTCCCTCCCCGAGTAAACGCTGGGAGTGCTCAGGGCTCACTGCTTCCTACATACAGATAAGAAAGGAGGCCAGTTAGAGGGGAGGAAATGTGAGGCAGAGGCTTCACAGGAGGAGACGCTGGACTCCTGAAGGGGAGGCAGATGGGAAGTGGGAGAGACCAGCTAGACACCCAGAAGGGGAGAGAGAAGTGTGGGTGGACACTTGGACAGGGGCTGGGCTGGGCGGGAGGTGGCTGAGCCATGTGACCACAGCAGGTGAGCTAGAAAAGGACCAACCGCAAATCCCTGTAGAATACAAACCAAAAAGCCTCACTGCATACTAACAAAATACAAATGGACACTAATCCAGGTGGTTCTGCAGAAACCGAAGCTGCAGGTAAGTCACCCGAGCAAAGTGTCTTATTACAGAGGAGGACACGATGCCTACTTGCGTGAGAAAGTGGACCGCTTGTTTCCCGCTGTAGACATATGGATCTCTGGAGCCGAGATGCTGCCTGTGCTGCTCGAGGAGCTGAAGTCAGCTTCGCTACCTGAAAAACGAGGAGAGAAGCATGAATGGAAAGAACCCGGAGAACACACCTGCCAGGCCTCTGCCTTCCAGGTCCCTGCTCCTCCGCTGCACACCCTCACTCATCACAGATTCCGGAGCTTACAAGCTCTCAGGGTTTCCCGTGGAGCAGAAAGGGGAAGGAGCAGGCACAAGGGCGTCATTTCATAAACGCAGGCTGAGGCCCAGTCAGGCGGTGGCATACAGATGCCCGTCTCCAGCCGACTAGCAACAGGAGCCCAAGCTGGGGCAGGAAGAGCCTGCCTCCCGTGGGACGGGCTCGCACTCAACAAGGTGCCAGCCCAGAGCGTCAGCAAAAGGAAAAGCGTACGGAGCTGTTCAAAAGCCGTTTTTCGAAGAGATTGTATCTCTGGGCTTCTGCAGGCAGCGAGTCAACTAGTTAGAAGCTGCCAGAAGTCTGGGCTCCGACGCTGCTTACGCCCACGCTATCTGATTACAGATCTCACTTTCTCTGACTGCAGACTCAGTTTTTCAATAAAGAATATGGACAATTGTGACCAAGAGTGGGAGTTTTTTTAAGAAAACAGAATGGCAGGGATGAGACCTGTGAATTGCTCTGACATTGGGAATCTTACTTAGCTTTGGCCTGAGATTTTTAAATACTTTATGGAGATAACATTACCTGCTGAGTACAGATTGGGTGTGTGATTACAATAACAAATTCATTCTGATGAAAAGTGCACTGTTCTTTGTTTTGATATCTTAAACCTTTATTGATTCTATTTTGTTTATGGACTAAAGCTATTTATATGTTCTTCCAAATCGTATCTTTACAACCAGAAGTCCAGCACTCTTTGTTTTTGTTTCTTTGAGACAGGGTAAAAGTGCATAGTTCTGAAAGAGCAATAATGGAAGTATTTCCAGAGACTGCCTGGGGAAGAGGCAGGAGAGAATGGGAGGAAGTCAAACAGGACCTCTACAGTGAAAGGTGGAGCATCACGTGTGTTTGGAAAATAAATCTGGGTACACAATGTTGTTTGACTTTGTTAATTAACTATGATGCAATTTGTGATTCTTCTGTTCTTCGCCCAGAGGCAGCTCCCATTTCTGAGCCTAGGGAAATAGGAATAATCTAAATCCTTCAGTTTCTTACAAACAGTGAACATTAATTGTAATAATGATTATTTATTGAGTGCCTAAGAGATCCTAGGCCCGGTATGAGACATTTTCATTTTTTATATCATTTATTCTTGACAACTCTGTAAGGCAGACAGGAATCTCACCCTTGTACTATTGTGAAAACTGGGCTGCTTTGCTGAAGGCTTGCGTGTGAAGAATGCTGAGCAGGACCAAATCCTTAGTGTATTTCTAGGACACCACGCTTTACCCTCAGGAAGGCAGCGGGAGGGACTGGGGATCAGAGAGGTTCCTGAGTCAATTTACACATCACCATCTCCCTCCCAGGCCACAACAAGGCACAGGTACAAGTGGCCACACAAGCGAACAGATCCTCTCTCCGATGGAGTGCCTTAGTTCTGCTAACAGGCACTCTGGCTGTGGCAAAGCACAGAGAGAAACATGTCTTCTTCAGTAGCCATGAACTCCTATCTCTTCTGGGAAAGAGAGCAAGAATGGCCCCTTAGCCAGATGACAGCTGAGACTCCCAGCTCCCGGCTCCCAGGAGAACAAGGGAAGCATTAGGATGGCGATTCAGGAGGAGGCAGACCAGCTATTCCATCTCAGTTGTACAGACTTTGTCTAATGATGTAAGGAACTCCTAGAGCGCCCCGAACTTAATTAGTTGCTTCTGAGTAATGCACTGGCTGACTTGTAGTATTTTACAGGGATTTGTGATTGATAGCGCAATCCAGCAACAAGCTATTCCTGACAGCCTAATTCAACCAGCATTGTCTGCTAGCAAACTATCAGGTTACTTATTAAATGATTAATATGGGCAATTTTCAAAAATATATCCTGTCAATGCAGCCACTGGGTTTAAAATATTATTTTCTAGTGTGAAATTATTCCTTGGAAACAGCCAGTTTTCATTCCTTAAAAGACACACAAAAACCCATGAATTCTAATGTAACTGCCTGCATAAAAACAGAAATTCTAGAACAGAAAAACAAAATAGCTGAAAATCTGCTGTTGCCTCTGGATGCTTCTGATCTGTAGTAATTATGCTTCCTGAGCTAACGGGATAACTTTGTTCTATATTTTATTGCTTCTGGGACTCAATACATTGACTCTTAGGTATTTACAGGGTCTGAGATCACTTCATTCTAGGACTTTGCTGTCTTATTTTCTGCACATCTGAAAAATATTAGAACTACATTCAGAGCACCCCACAGCTATATTCAGAACTATTTGAATGATACAGTAGTAACAACTACTTTAGCTTGTGATTTTAAAAAAATAGAAACTATTTGCAGTTTGGCGAATACAAGGAAAAAAGTCAATGAGCTCTTTTTAAAGGTATACAGTGTCTTAGCCATGTTCTTTGTTGCTGGGACAAAATGCCCAACATCTGCAACGTAAAGGAGAGGTGTATTTTGGATCATGTTTCAGGCTAAGTCACTGGCTCCAAAGAAGGAAGTGGGAAAGGTGTGGAGGGGAAGGGGATGGAAAAAAAAATGAAGATATGATCTGTACATGTACCAAACTTCCCAGGCGAATGTAATCATTTTGTACTGCAAACACATTCAATAAAAAAATTTAAAAACACTTTACTAATTAAAAAAAAATAAAAAGATTGAACAGCATAGCAAACAGGCATGGTCAAGGAGAGCTGCCTGCGGCCTGGCAGACAGGAAGCGGAGAGTGTAGGGAGGAGCCAGGAAGGGAGATAAACACTTCCGGGTCATGCCCACTGTGACCCTCCCCTTCTGACCAGACCCCAATTCCTAACAGCAAGTCAAGGAGAAGACTCCATAAGCCAATCTCTTTCCAAAAACCCCAGCTATGAGTACTTGAAGCTCTTTAGGAACATCCAGATATAAACTGTAACACACAGGAAAATGATTTTGATTTCTTTGGAGTCTCACCATATTGGCCAGGCTGGCCTCTAACTCTTGGGCTCAAGTGATCTTCCTGCCTTAGCTAGGACTACAAGTGTGTGCCACTGTGCCTGGCTCAGTAAGTTGATTTTAGTACATCATCTGATATACCTTCCCAATTCACTAAGCAAAATCACTAAGAAATAGTGAACACATGAAAATCCCACTTATTTACTAGCTGACAATGAAGGTACAAAGGAAAGGCATGGTGATCTCATTTCCTTTAAACAGCATATGTACTTAGGGCATTGTTGCAGGTACTGCATTTCAGTGCAGTTCTTGTGGCTACAGAATATCAAAGAGCATTGACCCTAAACACACAAATCCTGAATCAGATGGCTTATAGTCAGTCAAATTCCACCTCTGCTTACCAGGTGGAGGGCTTTGGGCAAGTTAGCTCACCTCTCTGTGCCTCAGTTTCCTCATCTGCTGTAAGGAGATGATAATCATATCAACTACTTGATAGGATTACTGTGAGCAATTAACATATATTTTGTATAACTTAGAAAAACACCTGACCCATCATAAGATCTGCAAAAAAGGGTAACTGTTATTCTTCAGGGATTAAAAAGGCAGCTTGTAGTATACTATATATTTCTTTTGCAAAAAATTTAGAAAACAATGTCAGAAGGGAAAAATAAGGTCTATGATTCCATTGCCAAAGAATAACTGTAGTTGCCTTTTGGTACTATTCACATGATTCTATAACATACTTGTTTTTTTTCCCTTAATACATGAATATCTTTAAAACATACCATATTTGTAAATGACATCAATGAATGGGTAGGGTGTTTCTAGTTTTTCTATTATTATAAACAAATACCATATATAAATATATACCATTCTAAGAATCTTTTACATATTCTCACTTATGTCTCATAATAATATAGACCCTATGAAGTAGAGACAATTTTCAGTCCCAAACAAGACAGCAATGAATGACATGTATAAGGGGACAAAAGTGATACAGGCCATCTGACTCCTTGGACCATGCTCTTGTTCAGTGAATGATGTTCAATGGACATTTTTGTGCATACACACTTCCATACTTATCTTTTTACTATCTCTGTAAATTTCTAAAAGTAGAATTTTAAGCCAAAGGACATACTCAGTGTTAATACATATTCCCTGTCCTTAGGGATTTGGCGATTGCACTAGCCTAAAGCAATTTTTTGTGGTCCAGGAAGTGTGTGCTCCATCTGGTTGGGTGTAGATACTCAACTGAAAAATCTCTGGTGTCAATGGAATACTGATACACCATGGAAAACTACTTAGCCATAGAAAGCTGTCCTTGAGAAGCTAACAGGAGTTTAAAAGTGTGCATACCTAAGTCATCCTTATCTTTGTCCCTCATGGAAACTGTCTTTGATCAGCTGCCTGGCTGGGATCCCAGGACTGAACCCGGGAAGTGGAACTTGATGGCCTTTAAGGTACTTTGTGATGCCAAATCCCTGTGACTAAGTTTCCTGCAGCACAAAGCATTTTCCATTATCAAGAAGCCCTGCCTGCTGGTGCCTAGAAGCTCTGGTGGTTTCCTGCTGGACAATACTGCCGGACCCCTGAGAGGTGCTGCTTTTCTTTATAACTACAGCACAAGCACTCGGTGCACGTATGCTAAAGCAGGGAATTAGAGTAGGAAAATGGAAACAGAGTGTGTGCCAAGACTGGTAACTAGGCTTATTTTTAAAACACTGCCTGGAATCAGGTCTCTTAGGATGTTATTACTTTTGCTTGCTTTTGGGATATTATGGAGTCTCTGTTTGTCACTGCACCCCAGCTCTCTGCGAAGAGCAAGCCTGCCATCTGCTAACTGTACTACACTATGTGAACCATTGATTTCAGTAATCCCAAACCCTCTGTTACCCTTGGTCACTGCAAAGCTATCACATTAATTCAGGCTGAGCACCTATATCCCTACCTCAAATAGAGGTGATAAACTACAAAGAGGGAAATAGAACCAGTCCCC